GGGATGATTGGGATAAAGGAAGGTTGGATAGGGGAGCAGGGAAGCACATATCTTAATTAAGGGAGCCATCTTAGGGTTGGCAAGAGACTTGGTGCTAGAGGGGCTCCCAGGTGCCCAGGGCGATGTCCCCAGTTAGTTCCTGGGGCAGCTGAGGACAGAGAACCTGAAATGACCCTATCCTATAGCAATACTGATGAATATCTTGCATATCACCATAGAACCTTCATCTGGAGATGGATGGAGATAGAGACAGAGACCCACACTGGAGCACCGGACTGAGCTCCCAATGTCCCAAGAAGGAGCAGAAGGAGGGAGAATATGAGCAAAGAAGTCAGGACCACGAGGGGTGCACCCACCCACTGAGACAGTGGGGCTGATCTATTGGGAGCTCACCAAGGCCAGCTGGACTGTGACTGAAAAAGCATGGGATAAAACCGGACTTTCTGATCATGGCGGACAATGAGGGCTGCTGAGAAGCCGGGGACAATGGCACTGGGTTTTGATCCTACTTCATGTTCTGGCTTTGTGGGAGCCTAACCAGTTTGGATGTTCACCTTCCTAGACCAGGATGGAGCGGGGAGGACTTTGGACTTTCCACAGGGCAGGGAACCCCGACTGCCCTTCAGACTGGAGAGGGAGTGGGAGAGGAGTGGGGGGAGGGGGAAAGGAGAGGGAGGAAGGGGAGGGAAAAGTGAAACGGGGAGGAGGCAGAAATTTTTTTTTCAATAAAATATTATATTAAAAAAATTAGAGAAAAAAGCACAAAGACTAGAGTTGCTCTTTAACTTACAAATAATACACTTGACACTATATAATTTCATCTACTTGTTTCATGAAATTTAAAATGATATTATTAAAAAAGTCTATCGCCTAACAGTTGTGGCTCATATCTAGGCCTTTGTGACACAGAAGAACCACTATGTTTGTAGTATATGTACTCATTGAATTGATAACAAGCTAAAATAAGAAATTATATTGGAACATATTTAACATTGTAAATTTTAGGAAAATAGCAATATTTTTATATAGTAATTATTGATTAATGTTAGACAGAAATTAATAAGATGAACAGAATGAAAATTATTATGATTCCATCTCATACATATCCAAGAGTTAATCAAAATCTTTGTTTCTCCAAGATTAGCAATACCTATTTTCAGCCCTGGTAGATGAGGAAGACCCAGCTCTCAACATCTGTTCCTCAAAGCTAAAATTATTCACTATGATCCTATGTACAGAGTAATCCATATGGAGATATTATATTCACTTAGATTTTCTTTGTTTGTATTGTTAATTATGTTAATTAAAAATTAAAAGTGTTAAATTCTATTGTGCCGACTTTCATAAGATAATTTTTTAGTAAATGTCTAATGTAATATGAGTCCAACTCCTTCATAACCATAAATATTTATTTTTTCACCTCTCTGCCTCTCATTTGTCTCATTAGTTCCAAAGTATCAATTTTACATTCACATCACCTATACACATTCAAATTTACATTTGTAAGAAAATTAGCAATCAGCAAATAAAAAACATAGAATACTAGTGTTTCAGATATGGACTTTATTTGCTTAATATAAACACTTATAGCTGTATTAGTATTCAAGTACTAGATATAGCTTAATTTTTCTTCATGGCTGAAGTTTTATATTTATAAAACTATCTTTTTATAAAGAGATCATTTCATATTTAATTATTAAATTTTCTTAAAATGATTAACAGCAATTTAAGTGGAAAGCATTTGTATTCTTCAATATTGTGGAATCAGATCTTTAATAAGCTATAGTGTAACTTGCATTAGCTTAAATATGATATAACTGAAGGATTATGTCCTCAATTTGTTGTATAATAGCTATATTGACTTCTAGAAAATTTGTTCAGGTGGAACCCAATGCCAATTAAACAATGAGAGGTGTTAAAACACACAGAAAAGTAAAGTGTGAAATGTTTTACTCCATTGTGCCTTTATCAGACTGAAGCTTCAAGTATTCCGACTGAAGATCTTCAGTATCAGGCAACAATAGAAATGTTTTCCAGTCATGCAGAAGTTTCATCATAGTTGCCATCTGAAGGGAGTGAAGACTGCTGGTGGCCTTACCCACTATTAAAGCATGTAGATGAATTTTCCCTTGATTGCTTCTCATTGAAACATAATTTGCCACAGGATTATGAGCAGTTAAATGTAATGTAATTTCTAATACTCTTTTAACCTCTGTTCTTAATGTTGCTCATAATGCACTCAGAGACTATTCTTTCTACCTTGGAGTATGTTTGTAATAGTCATTAACAGAGGTTCTCATGGATCTTGAAACTGATACAATGACACAAGAACAGCACTAGTAATAGCTTACGTTCACTTAGATATCACAAGTAGTGAACAGAACTTAAGAAAATTTAAAACTAAATTAAGTACCCTAGGGTGATTTAGATCCCTGTAATAAGATAATATAAGTAGAAAGTGGATGATCTTAAAACTGTAACACAAGTACAAAACCCAGAGTCCAGAGAATTCACCACTGAGCTACTCTCTCTCTCTCTCTCTCTCTCTCTCTCTCTCTCTCTCTCTCTCTCTCTCTCTCTTTTTCAAAGTGTGTCTGGGATTATTTCATAGTATATCATAAATAATAAATCAAGAATCATTATTTACAGTCATTATCCTATTCATTCATAATTAGAAATATTAATATAGTGAATATAAGCTTACAGATTGATTATACAAATGTGAATAAAGAAATCTATGATAGTATCATGTAGAAAGATAGCTTTGAGCTAATGGCACTTAAGACAAAGAAGCTGGAAAAACTCAAATTATGTTGTCTAGTTTCTTTAACTTAGAAATTGGAAATGGAGTCAAGTTTGTAACATGTTTAATAAATGATCCATAGTCGTTCCTTCCCATACTGGTTGCAACATTTTTGTGAGCGTTCTGTATTTGGAGATCTGGACACTGAATTTTACTTGAGTACCTCAGGATGTACCACTATCAATTTTTCAGTTTTTATTTCTCCTGTTTCATCACCTAATTTATCACAAGAGTTCTGGAAAGAAAAGCCTCAACTGGTACAGTAGTCGGTGACAGTTGTGGCTTAGTTCATTTCAGCTAAAAGTAAGTAGGAAAAATACAGTCCATTTAAATGTGAGATCCAATGATGAAATGGACAGAATTGTAGCTCTTGAGAACCCTGGCTATCAGAATCAAAGAAAGTAATTGATACAGATGGTACTGTGCAAAATAATGTTAGAGTTATTAGATACAGTACAAATAAAGTCTTTTGAGCCTGGATAAAGGATATTTGAAGAATAGAAGTCTTTGGAAATGTATTCAGTTACAATATAATAGCATTGAGCGGATGATCCAGGGCCTTTGTTGTTTGGGGTACTGCACAGATCATATTGTGACATTTTCTCCTGAGATATTAATAGCTAACACTGTGTGTACACTAGTTGATATTCCTATGCTTTATTGGTATCGCTACTTTCTATTATTCTTAAAACAAATAATACTTCTTTGGTGTTTTGTGGTGTAATGTGTTTTCAATAACAAGTTTTAAATGTAGGTATGAGAAAGACAGTTTGAAAGAAATCCTAATATGTGTGAAGGGATTGAATGAATGACATAAAATGATTTGTGGCTACAAATAACAGGGATTATAAAGTCAATCAAAGCTATCAACTCCATTGAAATGAGCATAGTTATAACTGTCTGCTTTTTAAAAATTTATTTTTACTGGACTCTGCATTTTTCTCTGCTCCCATCCCTACCTCTCCTCTTCACTATTCAACCCTCCCTCAAGATCCCCATGCTCCCAATTTACTCAGCAGATCTTGTCTTTTTCTACTTCTCATGTACATTAGTTTTATGTAAGTCTCTCTTAGTGTCTTCATTGTTGTCTAAGTTCTATGGAATTATGGTTGGTAGGCTGACTTTCTTTGCTTTATGTTTAAAAACTACCTATGAGAGAGTACATGTGATAATTGCCTTTCCGGGTCTGGGTTACCACAATCAATATGATGTTTTCTAGCTCCATTCATTTTTTCTGCAAAATTCAAGATGTCATTATTTTTTTCTGTTGTATAGTACACCATTGTGTAAATATACAATATTTTACTTATCCATTCTTCGGTTGAGGGGTGTTTAAGTTGTTTCCAGGTTCTTGCTATGACAAACAATGCTGCTATAAACATAGTTGACGACATGTCCTTGTGGAATGATTGAGCATCCTTTGGACATATACCAAAAAGTGGTATTACTGGGTCTTGAGGAAGGTTGTAGCCTAATTTTCTTAGAAAATGCCACACTAACATCCAAAGTAGTTGTACCAGCTTGCATTTCCATCAGCAATATTGTTCCCTTTCCCCCACGACCTCTCCAGCATAAGTAGTCATCAGTGTTTTGCATCTTGGCCATTCTTACAGGTGTAAGATGGAATCTCAGAGTTGTTTTGATTTGCATTTCTCTGATGACTAAGGGTGTTGAAATTTGCTTAGGTGTCTTTCATTTTAGATACCTCTGTTGAGAGTTTTCTGT